CACCTTCAAACTGCAGGGAAAGTGGCGCCAGAGATTGCCCGAAGGTCCCCAGCGGGTGTGTAGAGTGGAGATGAGCTCACAGAATACGTAGGGACCTAAGGCGAGTCCTAAGAAGTCCTAAGGGACTTGATCTACGGAAATGATTACATTTTACAAATTGGAACGGGTAAAATGACATAATTAACGTTGTAGAAGGACATTATTGCTGAGAGTGAGAGAGTGAGAGAGTGAGAGAGAGAGTGAGAGAGTGAGAGAGAGTTGGTTTTTAAAAACTTGGTATTATCATCATCAAGCGAGGAATGCGAAAGCATAACAACTTGACGGGTAACGTAAACATCGACCGAGATTTCGGATCCGTTCTCACATCGGGACGCGACCGTCGGGTCGATCGTCGCGTACGATGCGTACAGTTATAGCGACAACACTCGCGGGCGGCGGGAGAGATGCCTCTCGTCTGCGCTGCGAATTACCTGATTGCTTGCTGATCGCGCATTTCTGCATGGGTGTCAGCGATGCTACGTAACAAATGTCACCGCTACCGATTATTGCACGCGACAGAAGAAATATAGTGGGAATATAGTGGGTGGCAAAGTGGTGAAATGGGGTGGGGTCTTACTACATAAGCCCCAGCACCCCCATCGCGATCGTTTAGATCTAATCTTTATTCTGCTGTTGGGCGTGTTCTCGATATTAGCAACGTTACAAATGCATTATTGCTGAATGTCTACGACACAGATATGTCGTCGCTACGCACCGTGCGTCTCCACGCGAGCGCATTATGCATTTTATAAAATCTATAATATATTTTATTATATTTATTTCAGACTTTTGACACATTATGCTTCTGAAATAAATGTAATAAAATATAGATATATATATAGCTTAGTCTTTTATTACACGCATTGAACAACGAACACGTCCGCGCGATAAATGCATTAACTTACGTCAGGTTCGTTTTACTTCTAATTATGCTCCTTTCGAGTTATCACCGTTAAAAACATCGACCACAAAAACACAGACAAGATGGTGGGATGATTCAGTTCACGTGTCTACTGAACGCGAGAGATCTCGCAGGAGAGAAGCCCGTCACATCGTGATGAAATCCGATGTTAATCAGGTCAACGGTATATCCATCACGGTTATTCCATATATGCATCGTCATCCTCATTTAAAACGGGAACCGTTTTAACGTGAAAATCGTTATCATTATCACGTTAAAACGGGAACGTTACAAAGAGTTATTCATTCATTTCAGGTGCTGACTGGCAGCCGTGCTACGCACATCCTGATCTCTCTCCCCCTTGTGTTATTGCCCTCTACACTGTTGTCGCCAGTTATCTCTATCACTCGCTTCTTCAGCAGAAGCGTATGAGGTTTTGGGCCGCAGGCGAGAAGGCGCGAATTAAAATAATACATCTATTGCTGGACCGTAGAGTAGATTTCTGGGCCTAGAGTTGCTCACCAACTTCTATAAACGAGCAGAGACGGTGACGATCGTTGGCAGATATTTTCGGGGTTCCGACGGCCCAGTTCTGCGTCGCCGCACGTGTCGTGACGTCATCTGCCCGAACAAGAACGAGGCTCCGAGTGTGTGGGTGGTCGACGGTTGCCGACTGCGCTGTTCGATGTTGTTGTGTTGCGTTGTCGTCGCGGTCCATTCAGGAACGGCCGCCTGAAATAAACTTATGTCAAGTGGCGGCTGCTACTGCTACTGCTGCTACTGCTGCTGCTGATGCTGCTACTGCTGCTGCTGATGCTGCTACTGCTGCTGCTGATGCTGCGCTGTGGTTCAGCAATCTGCAGTCGTGCGACGGCCTCGCGCAGACGCAGGGTATAGATGCCGCTGACGCGTACACACACACACACACACACACACACACACACACACACACACACACACACACACACACACACACACACACACAGCGGGAACAGAAAAGAGCTCTGCAGGCGTTGAGCGCGGCGCGAGCCTAGTGCTGGAGATTGGCGTAGGGATGTCGGTATGCAAGCGGCCTGGCTATCGTGGAGGCGGGGCGCCAGTAGTAGGAACAGACCCGAGCAGAAGGAAGGCTGACGAGCACCGCCGTGGTTGTTGAGGAGCGCGAGGGGTCCTTTGTGCCACCGATTGTAGGCGGGCAAGACTATCTTGTCGTCTCGGCGGGCTCAGGCGGGGAAGACAGCGGTGCGTCTACGAAGAGGTAGCGCTCGGCGGGTCGCTGATGAGAGCGAGTGCGTTATCTTGTTTCGGAATGACGCCAACGCGATACGTACGTAGGGAGAAGAGGGGGGCAGCTGTGGTGACACTCTTGGTGTGTCGGTAGACCTTCGAACAATAGTGCATTATGTAACGTTTGCCCTAAGTATGAGAACACGCCCAAGCAGCAGAATAAAGATTAGATCTAAACGATCGGATGGGGGTGCTGTGGGCTTATGCTAGTAAGACCGGCCACCGCCATTTTCACTCACTTTGCCACCCGCACTATACTTCCCAACTATATTTCTCTCTGTCACGTGCAATAATCGGTAGCGGTGAGCATTGTTTACGTAGCATCGCTGAGCACCCAAGAAATCGCGATTCAGCAAGCATCAGGTAATTCGCAGCGCAAGGACGAGGGGCATGCTCTCCGCCGCCGCGGTGTTGTCGCTATACTGCTACGCGATCGTACGCGACGACCGGCCGACGGTCCGTCCGGCGATGTGATGAACGGCATCGCAAAATCTCGCGTCCGATGTTTAGTTAGCCGTCAGTTGTTATGCTTTGCGCATTCCTCGCGATTGATGTATGCGGCAAGCAATAGTCTGCGGGCAGCGGGGCGCTACGTAGCCCTTCACTCTGCCCATCTCAAGCTTCAAACGGTGCAGGGAAAGTGGCGCCAGAGATTGCTCCGATAGGTCCCCCAGCGGGTGTGTAAGAGTGGAGGATGCAGCTCACAGAATACGTAGGGACCTAAGGTGGAGTCCCTAAGAAGTCCTAAGGGACTTGATCTATCGCGGAAATGATTTAGCATTTTAGCAAATTGGAAGCGGGTAAAATGACATAATTAACGTTGTAGAAGGAAGCATTATGCTGTAACTTGATAACTATGCCATGTAATATTAGGAACGAGTGGCTATATATATATATCTATAGCTATAGATTAGATATTAAGATAGTTAGCACGGACTGAATGCAGCGAC